CTGTGTTTCACTGCAGCTGTTTTGACTGAGCAGCAGCTGAACGGACGTGATGGAACGGGGTGTTCACCATAGGAGCATGCTTTAGCATCATTAAAGCTGCTTGGTAATACAGGCTGGAAGCCAAGCCAGTAGATCTGAGGTGGTTGCATTACAACTAGATTGGCTCTAGTGGCTGTAAAGTGGTTGTATACCAGTGTAAATTGGTACCAGGCCTTGAAGGGTATGATATGAGGGTTCTCTAAACTGCCCCAACACTGCATAACTGCTATAATCTCTATCAGTACAATGATATTAGAGGCAAAAAGCATCCCTAAGACTGAACAAAAAGAGCTATATATCTCCCTTCATGAGGCTGGAAGACTACAATGAATATAGCTCCGAAGTGATGATGATCAGAGAGGAGCAATGGCATCACCTGAGGGAACGTTCTGGAAAGGTAGAGAGAGTGGGAGAGTGACAGAGAAAGACATACAGAGAGAGATAGAGAGGAATAAAGAACAAGAAAAGGACAGGGAGAGGCAGGAGGCAAAATACAGACCTCAGGTGAACCTGTTTGCGAGTGCAATGTGACAGTGACATTATTTCGTGAGGAGGGAACAAGGAAAATGGTGTTATTTTTGGAGAGTGTGGATGTGAGAGCTTTGTCTCAGGGGTGAGATAGCACAGCAGTACCTGTGTGTGTGTGACTGTGGTTGAGTTTGGGAGCGTGTGTGTGTGTGTTTGTGTGTAGGGAGACATCTGCGTTAATGGGCTGCAGGTGGAACAACTGCTGGTCCGAGGCGGCAATAGGTGCAGAATCTGCAGATGGTTTCAAAAAGAAGACAGTGGAAAAAAAAACCTAGGGGGAAAACGAGTGCCCCCATATGCTCTAAACTAGGGCTGCACGATATATCGGCAGCCGATATATTGTTTGCCGATGAAAATTACAGCCAGCAGTTACTACTGATGATTCAGCACCCTGTTTTTAGCTTGAGCATGCATTGACGCTTGTGTAGACACTACTGAACAGGCGATTCGTTTGCAAACAAATCACTTGCTAAACTGAATAACAGTGGATAACATTACCATCATCCCACACAATGTTCCATTCCCCATTCAGGCAGGAATGCCACTGCAAGACTGGGCAAGACTCCTAACGTCACAACTGCACACCATTATAACTCGCTCTGGGTAACAATGGTCCTGTTTTCATTTGGCATCGTCCAGGATGTACCTGGATGTTGACTGTATACGCAAAGTAGAGGAGCACACATTGTGATCAGACGTGTATATGAATTACTATTGAATTTTGAAAACTACAGCCAGTAAGTACAACTGATGATTCTGCACTTTATTTTTAGCCTATGCACACACTGACGCTTGCGTTGTCACTAGTGAATAAACAGTTCTGTTCTTTTAAAAAATTCTTTTGTGAATAAATCTCTTGCTGAAGCGGATAAGAGTGGATATTATCGTCCAGCACACAGAGAATCAAAGGTTTGATTCCTTGTTTGGGCAGAAACACCAATGCTATACTAATAAGAGTCCTTGGACAAGACTCCTAACATTACATTCACCTACCATTGTAAGATGCTATAGGTAAGAGTGGCCCTGTTTAAAATGCATCATGTATCTGAGTTCCAATCAACTTTTGCAAAGGGCAAGTAAACGTGCAGTTGCTTTATTGACAATCCATTTACCGCGTTCGGATCACGGTGTTCAGATGTTAATATCAAGTGTAAACAGGGCCAGTATCGGCTAAATATGCAAGTGGTTACGATAACTGTCAAGTCTGATTTAGCTATGTAGATTCAATTCATGATTACATGGATTAAAGTATGAACTCGTTTCGGATATACAATATCGGTATTTCTATCGGCCACATTAAGAAGTGAATTACAGTTACTGTATCAGCTCAAATTCCTGCACAGCACATGGACTCCAACATACGTGTGTCCTCATAGGCGCTCACAAGCACACACATGCACACAACCTTGTCCCACATTCTGCAAAGTCGAAAGGAAAATGACGACAATACATCAAAGAGACTTTTCAAACGTGAAAAGTTGCGCATGGATGAGGAATGAAAGACGGAACATGCAAGCACGTCTTTTTCATGTGCAAGCTGGACTCTCTGTGATAAGGAATAGAGTCAGAACTGAAGCGTCTGCTTTAGGTACCACTTTCACCTGTGATACTGCCAAGACAAGGTTGCAATTTCCCTCCTTTTGTGCTCCAGTAAGGCCAAGTGGATTTTTATTACAGTAATCATTTAAAATCTCGGGCAGTCTTTTGTTAAACAAGGGCTTTGCGAGAGCAGGCCCGGGCATCCAGGTGCTATTAGCAGTTGCAGATACCACAGAAACGCTTGACAGCTGATCTGAATGCATTAGTAAGCAGACATAAAACAAACCAGCAAAAAAAGAACAGCAACATGGACTCGAAATAGCCAGATCATGTCAGTAAAAATTCAAGGCCCATGTTTGATTTGCACTCAGGAGGGGAGGCAAAAAAAAGAACTGCCGTTCCAGTAAGTTATACTGTCAAACACAATCACAAAAGCAAGCCAGACAAAACTGACAGGCAAGCTCAATTTGCTTCCATCTGAGGAGTAGCAAACAGTTGTTTGGGGAGTGGAGGGTAGAGAAAGTGAGAGGAGATAGAAGAGAGGAGAAACAATGAGGGGAGGTAAGTGGAGGAAAAGAGAGGATGGAAGAGGAGAGGAAGGATGATAAAGGGGTGGCAAAGACAGAAGAAGAGTAGAGCTTGAAATATTTGTCCAAACCAGTGGTGGACAGTAACTAAGTAAATGTAATTCATTACTGTACTTTTTTTGTGTGACTGTACTTTACTGAAGTATTTCCATTTTGAGTGACTTTTTACTTTTACTCCACTACATCTCAAAGTCAAATATCCTACTTTTTACTCCACTACATTATGCAAAATCTGTTGTTCCTTTTGGCTTATGTGTGCATAAAAACGTAACGTCAAAACGAAAGAAGCATGAAGCAAGCGCATCAATCAGGGTACAGCGCACACTTTGTTTTGAGCTTGTTTTGACCTGTTGGACATAGCTACCCAGTGCAAGCATACGGTTCAAGTCAGTGCAGCAGCATAAAATTCTGGGAGTGCCTATGCCAACATAAATGATGGAACTAAACTAACTTTAACTTGTAAATAGACCATAATATAGAAATATGTACACATATGCAGTTGTAACTGGCATGTGTTTTTTTTCTGAATTTATACAAACACTGTTTCATTTTATAGTAAATTTGTTTTTGCTAGTTTATGTTTATGAACAGAGACCTACAGATGGAATTTAGTAAATGAAAAACACCTTTTAGTAAAGGTGAACCTGTGTTTAAAGCAGGTTTTTATTCAATTTAAACTTGTAACTAAGTAAATAAATTTTAAATCCAACCTTTCCTTGTTCACAAAAGGTTATTTCATAGCCTCTTGGTTCTACCTAATGGAAATTGTTTGCCTTCAGTGTTTTGTGCTTATGATAATTTTAATAGACATCAGTGACAGACTAATTAATGACATTCTATTAAAAGACTGGTTTACCAAGAGTGACACTGAATTATTTTCTCCTAAAATGAGTCAACAAAGCAAGAGTCTTGTTACAAAAATGGTAATAGGACATTAAAGTCATAATTAATCTTTTAGTACCTTTACCTTCGATACTTAAGTACATTTGACGGTGAATACTTTTGTACTTTTACTCAAGTGGAGGTCTAAAGGGAGAACTTCTACTTTTACTGGAGTAATATTTTACCTTGGGTATCTCTACTTTAACTCAAGTACATGATTTGTGTACTTCGTCCACCACTGGTCCAAACCCAATGGGACCCAACCTCTTACATCAGGTTTGGTCGAGCGTGGACGTCATTTCCCAAGTTTGCGTCGGTCTCACGTCAGGTTTGAATTTAACGTTCGAGTAGGCCTGTCATAATGATCAAATTTTAGCTGAGCATTAGTTGTCATACAAATAACTGCGAGAAACAATTTATTTGGGTTCATTTGGGCTCGGGCCAGTTTTGATGATGAAACCTGATGATGTGTTTTGGGTCTGGTCGGACTCGGACAGAAAGTTTTTGGGCTATATTTGCCTTCGGATAAAAATTTTAGGTCTGATTAAAGCTCTAAAGAAGAGGCCAGTGAAGATTGGAAGAGAGCAAATAAAAAAATAGAAGAAAAGAGGGAGAAGAGGGATCAAGAATATTAATGTAGTGGCAGACACGTAGATGATGACAAACAATTGTATGCATGGATGACCACCACATGCCACAGTGGCCTAATGCTTCATTTCAACTTAGAATCCTGCTATGGTTCATAACACACATCTTTTGTGTGTAATCTCTCTCCCTCTCTAGAACTTTCTACTCTCCTCACAGCCTATTAATGCCTGAACACAGCCAAATGGGAATATATAAGAACCCACCCTCCTTGCATTGTTTACTTCCCTACACCAATGAATAATATAGAAAAACATTAACAAATACGTCTTTGCAATGCATGCACCATTCAGAAGCCCTCTCCCCGCTCATACACAGTGCTGGTCCACAGTGTTATGGTTTGGTTTTCTGCTCTCCATAATCTTTCACTCACAGCTATAGCTAAAGACTGAAGATTGGCTAGCCGGAGATTGTGCTGCAGCCTCAGCTACTACAGTGTTAGGAATATTAATTATTGAATGTAATGTTGGGTGCGTTAGCTTCGATTCCTCCTGCCCACTTGTCATGTTCAAAGGACAATGAATAGACTCCATTTTCAGGAACTGGCAAAGGAGTCTATTGGCTAAAAGTACTAATTTGTACTGAGTTAGAATCACTGTCCCTGCACCAGTTCCTAACTTCAAACTCGGCAAGGTACACAGCAAAACTTACCTCAGATTGGGCTTTACATATGCCGTGACTTGGGGTGGCTTCTTGGTGCTTTTACTTTAGCATGGATGGTGTCACTTCTGCTTCCTGTCACTTTGCAAGCAATCACACTAATACAACCTGGGTTCAACTGGTGGGATGGTAGGAAGGTCTGGTTAGTGCAATATGGGCTCTGACTGCTCAGGGGGAGGGTTCATACTGAAATAATGACAACCCATTTGACGCAAAATAATCCTTTACATCGTTACATAAGTTACGGGACTAGGCAAAACCACAGTGTTTTAATGTCACCAGCAGCAGGACTGACTCAGTTGTACCTAAACAAATTCATTTCAAACATAGAACAAATGTAAACCAATAAAAAGACAGCAACATGGGATAAATAAACTAACAAACAAGAAAAGAAAACATAAGTTTGAAACACAGAATATGTTATTTTTACTTTCACAAGTCCAAAAAGTCTGATGTGTTTTGTATCCAAGTATCTACACATCTTGCCTGTATTCAATATATATAATAGCGCAGTGTGGCAATTTTCAGTGTGAAAGAGACAGTCAGTCTACTTGAATCATGTCCAGTGACCACACTCCCTCATTAGGTCCATATTAAAAAGATCCAGACAGCATAATGCTTTCTGCACTATGCTACATTTTTTTAGTCAGGCAACTTGCTGGCATTTCAAGATCATTTTTGAGGCGTTTAAAACTAGTGACGCATCACCATTCATGACCAATGTTTGTAACTCCAAATATTCCTAATCCCATAATAAAGGGAACACCAGATCTCCAAAGTCCAAGGTCATTGGTCTCTTGTAAAAATTGGATCCAAAATGTCACCCCAAGTCTTCTTCCCTGACCCTTCCCAGAACAATAGCACTGCCAAGATAACCTCAGATTCCCTCTGCAACAGTAAGTCTCCAGGTAATCCTTATCCACAATGTTGCTCTGTTCTCTTTTCAGACACCCTGGCCAAAAATGGATTTCCCAAACTAGGCATCCACAAATTCGAGTCAGGTGTGCAGCTGTTAGGCAGCTAATAATCAGAGCCACAAGTTGTAGTTGAAGGTTGTAGTTGTAGTTGAAGGTTTACATCCAGGTCTGATTTGTTTTAGTTATTTTTTTTCCAAGAAGTGCCACAAGATTTTATATGATCTGAGCTCAAAATAAAAGGAAACTCTGTGTGTTAAATACATTGTGTGCTGCCCTTGAATCTGCCTCGCTGAGGAAGCCAGGGATAAAGCAGTGATGCCGAGGACACACCAGGTTACACTGGGGGGGAGTGAAAATAGCAGTTGGTATAACCACCTGAAATGGTGTGGCCGCCTCTTGGCACCAGGCACAGAAAGCTGTTTCCTAGCAGGCATCTGGGCCAATTAAGAGCTTCCTCGGTGCCATGAACAGCAGGCTAGGTTGGAATGGAGACCAGAAGGCACAAAGGGGTGCTGTGGACCCCACACTGATTAAAAAACTGTGCATCTATCCAGTACATGATTCCTAACAGTGTTTGCTAATTTAGGCCTATCACGTGTAGGAGTAGTCTATATCTGGGATACCTCCTTCTCTGTAGCCGCGGTTTGTACCATAGCCCGAGTTGGTCATGTGATTGGGTGGTTTGTACAGACCTGTGCCATTAGAGGGGAAAATTGTATGTATGATATAATCTTCTCGGATTGGCTTGGGCTGTAGGGGCTCTCTGGCCGCCATCGGTGTCATCTGGAACCCAGGTCCACGGATCTCCAGGATAGTAGTGTCCTTCTTAGTGCCTGATTCAATGTAGTCATCATAATGCTTGCTCTTGCGTGAGCTACTGCGGCTGTAGTGGTCCCTAGAGGACAGACGTCCTGCACGATGCCCATACCAACAAAATATGCCAAAGATAAATGCGAGGGAGACTATGGCGGTGGCTCCACCAATTATCCCAGCAAGTGGGAGCGAAGCGATCTGCTCTGAGCCTTTATCCTCTCCCTGGTCCACTTCAGACAGGCTGGGATCGGATGTCTCAGCCTTGGCACACACTGGAGCCTCATCTGAATCTGTGTCCCCGCTGGACATGCTGCCTTTGCTCCCGCTGCCAGAGACTAGCGGCACCATGCAGATGATGTAGCTAGACGCTGGCTGGAGGGCAGTAAGAAGATACTCTCTGCGGTCGCCCCTCACCAGTGTCTCTGTGATGGAGCCCATGGCAGCACTAGTCCCTAAACGGAGCCAGCTGAGCCTGAAGGAAGAAGATGGTTGTGCCACACTCCACGTAACCCTGATGCTGTCATGGGACAGTGGTTTCACATTCAGGGCCAAGTTCTTTCCTACACCACTGCTGCCAAGTGTGTAGTCCATTCCTGTATCTGGAAGCCCCAAACCTGGTCGCTTGGACCGCAGGGTGAACAAGGAGCCTTGTGGGGGGGAAAGAGTGGTGGAGCTGGCTGCTACACCTGTTCCTCCCATCCTGTTGCTACCAGCACTTCCTGCACCTGCTGAGCCCACACCAGCTACTCCTCCACCTCCCGCAGCTGCTAATTCACAGTCGTCCATCTGGCTGGTAAGGTCCCTTAATGCCATGTCACGCACACGCTCTGGTGACTGGCAAGTGAGTCCTCGGACTGTGATGGTGTTCCCTTTGGCTTCCAGCCAGTCATACAACCAGCGTAGATTGCATCCACAGTGCCAAGGGTTACCACGCACAAGCAGCTGCCCCAGACTCTCCAAGTCTCGAAACAAACCTCTAGGAAGTGTAGTCAAGTTGTTCCCAGAAAGATCCAGCCTTTGAAGTCTACGCATCCCGTCTAGGGAGCCCCGAGGCATGTGGATCAAGGCATTGTCCTGAAGAGAGAGTCTTTGCAGGTGTGCACTAGGTAAATTGAGAGGCGGAGTCTGAAGGGAGTTCCGCACCAGTGAGAGCTCTGTCAGGTTGGAGAGGCGTGAGAAGGTGTCATCAGCAATGCGCTGATTGGCTAGAAGGTTACCATCTAAGACAAGGCGGCGAAGAGAAGACAAGCCACGGAAGGCGTGCGTGGGAATCGTCGAGATCCGGTTGTCATCTAAGCGGAGCTCCTCCAGCGAGGCTGGAAGTCCAGACGGTATGCTGGAGAGGTGGTTTCGGGAGAGGAAGAGCAGACGAAGGCGCGGGTTGTCGGCAAAGGCCTGGTCTTCTATACTAACTGTGGACACTGAATTGTCATCCAAGTGCAACTTCTCAAGTTGAGGCAGCCTAGCTAATGCAGCCCGGGGCAACACCCGGATGTTGTTGTCCTGGAGATGTAGCTCCCGTAACGATGGTGGTAGGTGCATGGGAAAGTCATCCAGCTCATTATCATAGAGATATATAACCCGCACTGTGGTGAGGTGCTCCAAGGAAGTGGGCAGTCCTGCATTATCTATGTGATTATTTTGAAGATAAAGAACAGTGGCGGATGGGGGCAGTGGCGGGATGGCACTGAGCCCACGGTCATTACAATAGATGAAGTCCTCATCACAGCGACACACAGAGGGGCACACAACATCTCCCTCGCCATCCAATCCTTGCGAGGCAGCTGCAGCACATTCCAGCACCTCAACCAATAGTGTGAGACACAGTAGAAGAAGGAAGAGCAAGTCACGAAGCTCGGCCACACCTTCATGAGCCATGATGCCCGTAGCTTCCTTTCGCCCTCTTTTCTGGGAAGCACCACCCTCCTCCTTTGCTCAGCTTCTTCGAAGTTCCCAGAATATATGGACTGCTGTTCAGTTGCAAAGGAGTCTAGTGTTTGCTCACTGTAGACCAGTCTGGTTACCCTGGGGAGAGGAGAGACAAACAAGGTTGAATTAATACCTAAAGGCAATCAATATCCCTTTGATGCCACACACAGCATATCATCACATTTTGGACCATTCTATTGGTCCATTCGTCATGGCATTTTAACACAATGTAAAGGGCAGCCGGCATTTTCAAATTATTAAAAAATGACAAAAATGGAGATACAAGGTTTTTTCCAACATGGATTATATTTTTGTTAAAATAACACATCCAAACAGATCCAAACCAATTATGCCCTGTCACAACTGGACTGAACAGCTAGATTAATCTGCCTATACTGCCTAGGATCCACCAGTCATTGTGCAGTATGAAAGCACTTCTAGGAAGATTAAGAGAAATGGGCCAGAGCGACTCTAAGACATCTCCCATCTGAGCAAAATGGTGTTCACTGAAATGTGGAGCTTAATGTAACAGAACATAAGTCAAAGTCATAAAAAGGCATTGACATAAACACTATCAATGACAAATGGCTGTTGACATACTGCACATTCTAAATGGCTGTGCCGAGTATTTGCATTGCTTTTGCTCTGAAGTGTGTGCACATAGCGATTTCAGCACAAACATCGCAAACATTTTCAAACACAAGCACCCTTCGCTTGCTCCTGAATCCAGCCCAGAGTATGATGACACTCCTTGAAGGTATCAACTGTGTGTACATGTGTGAGTTTACATCCGTGTCTGTGTGCATATGTTGTGTTTGAGAATCTGTCAGTTTCAGTATGGGAGGGTTGGTTTAGGGTGAGGGATAAGGGTCTGTGTTTGAGATTGAACAGCTGGTCAAATCGTGGGGTATTTGGGTCACTTCCCTCATAGACAACAGAAAAAGAGAGAGAGAGAGAGAGAGAGAGAGAGAGAGAGAGAGGGACTGGTGCTAAGAGGAGAGTGGGGGGATTATGAAGCATATGGAGTTGTGATTGTGTGGATTAAGCAGGTGCTAGAGAGAATGCAACACAGCAAAACAATACTAAACACCAAGACATTTCTCCAGGTGTCACTCATGGCAGCTACTAAGAAAGATAATACACATCAAATGGATTTGTTCTTTTGCTGTGCTCACAAGCACACAGTGAACTTGATGAAGACATCTTATTGTGTGTCATATGATTGTGTGTATATATGTTTATGCCTCACACACATCCAGTACTGTGCAAAAGTCAGAGACCACCCTTTTGTTCGTTCAATTTCTAGTTCGTTCAATTTCGTTTGTTCAATTTCTCCTAACAACCATATAAAACCTAGCAGACCACCAAAACCGTCCCCATCAGATAAAGAGTACTTAAAGCTTTTATCTTTGAGAGACAGGATAAAATCAAGCTCCACTTTTGCTTCTGATCTGAAAAAATCCACAGGTGTTTCTGTCCATCCTTCCACTGTGAAAAGGCAACTCAGCCCTATGAGTCTGAAAGCATGTGTAGCTGTCCAGAAGCCCTTACTGAGAAAATGAAATAGACAAAAAAGAAGATTTGCATTATAACGCTAAAAACTGCAGATGTGGAGATTTTTAGTTAGACTTATGAGTCTAAATTTGAAATCCCTGGAGGTCAAAGAAGGCAGTATGTATGCTGACAAGGCAAGAAGACCATGATGTACTTAGTAAACAAAGAAAAAGCTGGTGTTCTGAGAACAATGGAATGGCCATCCCAAAGCCCTCCAGGCACATTGTGCATGCATGTGTATTAAAATAAGTCTAAAAAAAAACATCAAATCAGGGTGAAATTTGTGAAATGCATCAAATCATTGCACAATATAAAATCAAACTGTTGAGTGGTCAGAGATCCTAGTTTTGTAGGGTTAACTGAAAATACATTTGCATGCAGTGTTACATGACATTGCTGTGTAGCCTGTGATTAAGACATTGGTGGATTGAATATGTGCATGTATATGTGTGTATCTGTGTGTGTGTTTATGGGCTGTAACTAAAGCAGAAAAAAGGGCCTGGATATGAAAATTACTTTCAATAAATAAAAAATCACAATGTAATTTGCTTCTTTATTCATTACTGTTATGTCTCCAAGCAAGTTGAGGCATGCCACTCCACCCACTTGTTGTTAAGAATGCTGTTGAGAAATGTAATCTTTATGTGAGTTAGGGGAGTGTCAGTATATATATGAGGGGCTGATAATGGTTTTTAGGGGGCCCCATTGTACCATGGGTGCCAGTGTGATTTATCCTGTTCTTCAATGGTCATGACCCCCACAAGACCACCACACAGCAGGTATTATTTGGGTGGTAAGTGTATTTGGGTGGTAAGTGTAGAAAGAAGATGCACACCTGTAAGGCAAGTGGAGCTGAAAAAATGGACCAAGAGTGTAGATACGAGGAGGTCAACTTAGTGAAGTGGCCAGTCAGTGTATAAGCAGTTACATTTATATAATACAAATAAGACCTGATGCCCTGACCGCATACAAAAGCAAGTGTGTGTGTGTGTGTGTTTGTGTGTGTGTGTGTGTGTGTGTGTGTGTGTGAGGAGTGTCTCTGAATCACTGGGGAACAGGCTGAAATGGGGCTGTCCAGACAGCCTGTCGCCTGTGGCTCCTCCCCGCCCCCCCCCTTCACTTCTTCAATATCCCAGCCAATGCGAGGGCAGCCCGGGACTATATCAATTTACATCCAGGGACTGTGGGACAGGCCTGAGCAAGAGCGACTGAGCGTGTCCACAGCTGCACTATCTCTGCTCATAAAATTCACAGCATAACAATAAAAAATCATATCTGGTGCTCCCGGCTGCCACGTGCGTGTGTGCGAAATAAAAAACGGCGGTTTATCAGGAAGGAACAGTGGCATATGGGAAGATGCTACCATATTTGATGGGGTGCTAAAGATAAAGCCAAAGAGAATGCTTATCTGAGTGCCCGCGCATGTCCGCAAATATCAGCTTTTAGAATTTGGGAAATGGGAAAGAAAATGGAAGGATGCTGGCTGGAGAGATGGACAGACCGATGAAGGCACAAATGGCAGTGACTGAGGAAATGGAGGGATACACGAAGAAATGAAAAACAGAGATGGCATGATACTGCTTATGCTTTTTGCGATACCAGTGCTAATAATGAAAGCTTTAAAATAAGATATTTGTAATTGAAGCACTTTGCTTAATACTGCCAATTTAGTTACAGTGCAGATCAAAAAATGATTTAGAGGCAAGAAGGCAACATTTAGTTTAGAACATAATTTAAAAGTTAAGAAGCAGGTTTACTAAGAGATGCATAATTACCAATAGTCTACTGACACTTTGCGCTCGTGGGCGTGGCCAGTTTAGTGGGATATCTACTATATATTTAAACATCCATGCAAATGAACACAGGTGAAACTTTGTAATTAAAATATTACCAGTGCAATATAACCATTTTTTTATATGAAAGCCTGTTTCCACCAGGTAGGAGAAAAAAAAACTTTCTAAAATGGTAATTTTATAGGAAAAACATTCTTAACTTTGAAAGGAAACTAATGTCATTTTGGAGCATTTGTATTGCCATAGAAGCCAGAGCACATAGGAATAAGTGTCAATATGTGTTTTTAACAATCATTGGCAAAACTGTCAAATCATTATTTAGGCAAAAATCTGCCTGCTCTTTGACAATGTAAAATATGTAAAATATATCCAAAATATTGTTTTTCTAAAATTGTTTGGTGTAATTAATTTAGTGTATTGTTTGAGACATATAACGATTCTAGATTCAATACTAATACTAATAATATTAATATTTATGAAATACATAAAATACATTTATGAACAGACTGGAGCAATAAATCACTCATTTTAATACTACTTATTATGTGAGGTGTTCTAAAATGTTAAACTCTTTACCTCATATTCGAACATGCAATGGGAAAGCACACACCTCGTAAGCGTATGAATTCAGCATGATGCATGTGCATTAGTCAATCAACGTGATCAGACGGTAAGCATGAACAGTGCATCCACAACTACATAGAGAGGGATATTATTGTAGAGTTGCAGTGCATAAACCCCTCATTACAAATATGAATGCACAAATTGAGAGTTCAGTGGTGCAAAAACCATAGACACTGATTTACAGTGATGTGGATAAAAGTCATATGGTCAGATGATTTATCCTCACCATATTCTCCATAATTGGGCAAGTGCATGTGGATCAAGAGAATGTTATCTCCCGAAGACATTTTCTAGGATGACTGGGATCCACTTGTCACCGCAAATCAATAAAAAAACAAAGTTCTTTTAACTGAACATCTTATTATGAAACATTTCTATTCTGATGGGAGTGGTCTTTTCCAGGAAGACACTGTCCCTATCCACAGGGCACAAGGGATCTCTGAATGGTTTAATGAATAATAAAATGATCTAAATCATAAGCTATGACCTTCACCAGATCACCAGATCACCAGATCTCAATCCGACTGAACATCTATGGGAGATTTTGGACCAGTGTGTTAGCACTCTTTACCACCATCATCAAAACACCAATTGAGAGAGCGTCTTTTTGAACAATGGTGCTCCACTACACTTCCAGAGACTTGTAGAATCTATGCCAAGACACTTTGAAGCTGTTCTGTCAGCTTGTGCTGGCCAAACACCTTACTGAGACATTTTATGTTGTTTTTTTTTCTTATTTTGTCAAATGACTATATACTGTTGACTGCTTTAATAAACTACAAAAAGACAGAATAACATATCAACAATAAAATATCCTTACGAAAAGGATCTATCTAACCTCTCAGACAATTGCCATAGTTTTTGTAAATTGCTATAGTTTACTACAGGAAACTAGGCAAGTATTATATGTTACTATAATATCATACAATTGTCAAAACATTACTATAATATTATCATATTATGCATTATAGGGTTTTCACACAAGGCACATTTTCAGGCACTCCTTATTTCTGCTTTGCCAAAAAAAAAATATATATATCGAATGAACTTTGTAAATCATTACACCTCTATTCCCTACAGCTTCACCTTTCATCTGATAAGCTTACTTGGTTTTCATCCAAGATT